ATGAATTCCTCTACTATCGTATTTCCCATCCATTTAAAATTTACTATTATTCCGAGTTCTCAAAACCACATGTGAGAAGAGCAGTATTCAAATGTAAACAACCCGGCAGTACATAAAAGGCTAAATTAAAATAAAAAAAAAAAAAAAAAAAAAAAAAAAAACAAAAAAAAACGAAACCTTTTAATATAAATTATTCAGTAGTCCATGGCTAGCAAAAAGATATTTTTGTTCAAAAGCGCTTACATAGCTAGAATTTATTGCTAGAAAAATTCAGCTACAAACGGATTTGAAAAAAAAAAAAAAATCAAACTAGTGAGAGAGTGGTCGTTTTACAAGATTTGGCCGGAGGCAGTTATCGAAAAAAAAAACAGAGTTTTTTTGCTTGTCGTAGACGAATTTTTATTTAATCGTTCGAATCATTTGTCATTTAGGTTAAAGATTTTATTAAGCAGTTGTGCTATAAATTTTCTTTTCTCTTTTTTCTTGAGATTTTGTGCGACATTTTAATAAAAAAGTTTTTTTGTAAATAAATTAGAGCGAAAAAGTAATCAATAAATTTAATAATTTTGACTATAACGTAAGGTTCGATTGCGATTGTCTTTCTATGCTTACACCAAGCAGCGCATTTAAAAATAGTTTGCTTATAATATAATTCCGGCTAACAATGATTAATAATCTAATTTTGTCGTATTTAGGTTTTTTTAGTGTTGCAATTTTTTTTTTTTTTTTTTCCTTTCTTTGTTTTTTTTATATTCTTATTATAATATTTCTGATCAGCTAGCTAAGTTTGTTTGTTTAGTATCTGCGATTGTTGGCATTTTTCATTTTCCAACATTCATTTGTTAAGCATTTCAATACATTGATGTAATGTGGAATAGGTTTCTGGTTCGTATGATTGGTAATTAAATTCATGCAATCATATCAAGGTTATCACGACATGTTGCGGACACAGAACAGCAAAAAAAAAAAAAAAAAAAAAAAAAAAATTGAAATAAAATTAAAAAAATAAAAGCAACGAAAATGAAAAGAAAAAATAGACAAAAAAAAAAAAAAACAAGTAAGAAAGTTATTTTTGCCTAGTCACGAATTTTGAGGACCGACAATCTCAAGCTATTACTTGAAAATTGCCAATTGTTTTCGCATGTATTGTACTTTAAGGTTTTCTTTACTTAATATGGATGTGCTTGTCAACGGGTCAGACTGTTTCGCCGTTTGAATCTTAAGACAGTCGTGTTTATAAGTTTCACTCGTTCTCAGTTCTTTATTGCAAATAATAGTTTGTTGCTCGATGTGAAAGCAAGTGTAGGCGAATCAAGATCCTTCGCCGAACTAACTTTTGACCAAGTTGCCGGAGAGATGAACAAAAGAACGTATGGATAACGCAAATCTTCTATTGACCAAACTATGCGCATGTTTTGTAGGATCTCTAGTAAGTAATATTATCAATTGTTAATAAGTTTTTTGTTTTGTTTCGTGACGCTTCTTAATCTAAATTTAAATACTTAAGTCCATCCATATGGAAGACGAGAGCAGGAGAAAGGGAAAAATGGCAGTGCATTTCGAATGACGATATCATTTCCTTAAATAGACAAATAGCTTTGCCAAACCCTATCCACATCTTCAATTCTCATTTTTCTCTCTCTCTCTCTCTCTCTCTCTCTCTCTGTATCTCTCTCTCTCTTCCTATATTTCTCTCTCTCTCTCCCTCTCTCTCTCTCTCTCTCTCTCTCTCTCTCTCTCTCTCTCTCTTTTCCTTTCTGTATCTCTATCTCTCTCTTTCTATCTATGGGCAACAGTACGATATTGCGAACTAACAAGTGTCAAAGGTTCAATAAGTTCAGTACTGAGACGATTCAATCATATTTATCCGCCGGTGCGTCCGCCTATCTGTCCCCCGTTAAGCGTTACTCACAACTGCCAATAGTGTCATATAATTATTATCAATATATGATAACATTTTCGCGTTTAGCTCGCGCGAGCTTATTCAAAACAATCCCCTTTGAACGAAAACTGTTCGAGTGAGGATTTAAACAAAGTTAGTTGAAATGAGTAAAGTGTTTGCGCAAGAATTGATGTTGAAATTGTAGTGACAACATCTTGAAGAATCAATCATCGGTGTGAGAAGGCGCATTATCGCGGCAAATACACATTTGAGATCACACGTTTATCAATTGATGATTTTTCAGCGCCGTTTGTCGGTAGACGTTGAACGAAGCCCAGGGCGACGTTTTCATCGTCGTTACACAACGGACTTTCTACCTTCTTTCACACAATTTATACCAATCAGAAACAATCGCTCTTGGCAACATGTTGTCGCGCTGCCCTTTCCAACATTTCGAAACAACCGTTTAAATGAAATAACAGCGACGTCCGAGCTATACCCGCCTTCTAACAGAAAATATTTGGTTCTTGAGTGGTTTTTGGTCACAGCGAAGATCTTTTCTTCTAAGAAGTCTCTCAAAAGCATTCCGCAAGCGTTGACGTTTCAAAATTTCTTAATACAAATATTATTAATTATTGTTGACATATTGTTGATCTTTGATACGTTTGTTAGTTTGAAAAAAAAAAAAACACTTCTTATGATATAAAAAAAAAAAGATTAGAGAAATTATGCAATGTAACCTGTTAACGGTAACTGATCACATTTACTTAAGGGGGAGAAGCTATTCTAACAAGTTTAAAAGAAGGAAACGTGGTGGAGTGCTAATATTGAGGGACGCTGTTAAGCATATAACTACCGTAGTCGTTCTGGTGCGGTGTCTTCAATAAAATCTGAATCTGCGTCCAACGCGCTTTTTGATGCACATTTGAATTTGAACAAAACGCGATTGAGTCTACACGATCATAGCTACGGAACACTTCAAAAGATGTTGCTCTGTGTAGAATGGGTCCGCATTTGAATGGCAAAGTTCAACATTTTGATAAAAAAAAATCTTTATTGATAGAAAATCGAAAATACGCGCCATGACCCGCTGGAAAATGTTGTCTAAAGATACTAGAAGAAATTCAAAGGAAAATAATGAAAATGGTTCAAGTCGGTCTTTTTGAAAAATCGTTCTCAACGTTTTGATTTTTTATTGCATTTTTTCTTTTACTCTGCAATTCCAGGATCATAAAAATGATTTTTCACATTTAAATACTACTCCTTATGCTGCTACCATCAAGATTAAATTTAGGCAAAAGTGCGTTTTACTCTTTGCTGTCAGCGAGATGACAGAGACGAATTTATAACCAACTTCAGAAAATTCTGCCCAAACTTTTAGTGTCTTGGCGGGAGCATTGAAAACTTTGAAGTCTCAGTGAGACTACGAAGCAAAGACGATTGGAATATAATTCGCATGTTTGGGCGGCAACAGCCAAGACCGATCTTCGCGAGACTCGATAGCGTACAGCGAAAATCTTAGACGGATTCTTAATGATTGTGAGAGTTTGCCCAACGCTTTTGGTATTTTTGAGCGTCGGGGAAATGTACGATGCGTTGCGCTTATGTGTAGATGTTCACAGATATAAAGAGGATGCGTCTATCAATCAAAACATATAATCGCATTGCCCGCTTTTGTATTCGGTCAGCAAGTCGTCACGGAGAAGCGATCAAAAGTAACGGAGAGTAAGTACTCAATTACTATGGAAATCTAAGATGTATTGTAGGTCGATTAGTTATTGAGGGGAACCCAAATGTAGCAGTGTGATTAGGTGTCTGACATTGCACGATCGATGCTTTTGCATGGACATTGCAAATTGATGGAGAAAAAGTTGAATGGCAGTCCAGTATGCACGAGTCGTTTGATATCGAATACCTGAAGGCATTAGGGCAGGAATTATGGGTACTACGTATACAAGGGCGCCCATTCAGTATATCGCATAATGCCACGCGCATAAAGACCGACCGTATATCATTTTCCTGTGGGAGAGTTGAAGACCAAACGAATATTGGGACCTAATCAGTTAAGACTCCCGAAACATCTCTTCACGTTTCGAAGAAGCTGTCTGTATTGGCTTTTCCCGCCGTTTCCCATGTTACCACTTTCAAGTCGACGGCCAGAAACGCTATTGCTCTGCTATTGCTTCCTCTTCAACTCACACCACCCACCCTTTCTAACTTCGGTTACATGTATATGGGACGTCCCCTGAACTAGTAGTCAGCTATATATATGAAGTAGTGTTGCGGACATTCCTAGAAAATATTTCCTTTACAGATCTGTATTATGTTGTTTTTAGGAATGTATGCAGATTTTTAAATATAATAAAATTCATTTAAATTTTTTTAGGTTTTTAGTAAATTTTATTAAGCCGACTGACTGGCTATTTGTTTATCATATCTTTTTCTTTAAAGAAATCTGAAAAAAAAAAAAAATACAGAAAATATATAACTTTTACTGAACATTTTATATACATATTTTTATGTATTTTGATCATATATACATATATATATATATATATTTACAACAATAACATATATAAATGAATTCTTCAATACTTATATATGCAAAGATCATTGAAGAATTCAAATGTCTAACTTTGGTTAATGCTTTGTGCATAAAAACACCAAGCATATAAATATGTATTGCATTGTATGCTGCTGTGTGTTAGTATTAGAGTTATTATTATTGTTACTATTGGCTTTGTATGTATATACGTTCATGTACGTCAGTTAATGTTATATATTTTCACAGTTTTAAACATACATCACACGGGTGGAGTCTGTATTATGTGTACACAGTTCAGTGCGTCTGTGTGTTTGTGCTCTATGCGTGTTTATAAGCATTCACAAGTGTGTTTATATATATATATATATATATATATATATATATGTGTGTGTGTGTGCGAATATGCGGGTGTGTGTATGTGTGCGCACGTGGTGGTTATGTGTGCAAATGCAATCGAATGTGCTTGCTATGATTTTTTTTTTCATTATACGTATATCGCCCGCCACACTGTCAGCAAAGCAGTGCAATGCTTTTTGTGTGTATATAAAAGCAGTTATTTCTTGGTTCTAGTTAACAGTTGTATAAAAAACTTTAAAACGTTTAGACGTTTACTTAACTCCGCAAAACTTTTTACAGATTGTTATTCCATTAAAAATATAATAAATTAATAATAATAATAATAATAATGGTATTCTTCAAAGTGAGTGCTTACGTTAAACATTAAATTGTTTGCTTTTTTGTGTATTTTGTATGTGTGTGTGTTAATGTGCGCACTTATTCAAAATTAATGCAAATCAAAATAAATTTAACAAGATTTCACTTAAATACCATACTCCTGCGCATACATCCTCTTAACGACTTTTTTTTATTTTTGTTTCTGTTTCTGTTTTGTTTACTTATGTGTTTTTGATTGATTATAGTCCTTAATCTGCTTGGCTGCAGTTGGTGTTGCTACCGCTGGTGTTTTACATGGTGCTCATGGTCCTGCTTATTATGCAGCTGCTCCAGCTTTATATGCTGGCCATGCTGGCGCTCATGCTGCTCCAGCGGCCCATGACGAAGGATTGGATTACTTTGTAAGTGAAGTATAAAAAGAATTTCTACTCAATTCTTGTCTATTAGTTTAAGCTTCTACGTAGTCAAAGTTGGAGAAATATGTAACATTGTAAGAATTTTTTATTTACATGGTCGAGGCTACGTGTTTAGAATTTAGAATTTTTTCAAAAAAAAATCCAAATTAAAATTTTTCCAAACTAATCTGCCTAAGAAAGGAAAATATAGTTATTGGTCCATTTATTATGGAATAAAAAACGTGTTCGTCATTTCAGTCTCACTAAATGATGATGATTCATGTAACAAATTGTGCTCCTTGATCCGATCATTATTTGAACATGTATCGGAAAGATTCGAAAATTATATAATTTAAGAATATATTTTCAATTTCAAGTTTCCACTTAAGCTTCTTATCAAAGGATAATTCAACGATAGCTAAGGATTATGAAAGGATTTCGTATAAAAACTTGAGAGTGAGCACTAAAGCTATGTGGCTTGAACTGACTTATGAGAATAATTTCAATAATTTTAAAGACAAATACATGAACCGCAATAGCTATCGATTAACGCAGGCTCAACATACCTTAGTGTTTTGGCAAAACAGTGACAAAAAATATCCTTTCTATCTACGGTTATATTCCAAAATTAAGTTTATCGCGACTTAAGTCAATGAGCGAAACACGTCTGGCTTAAGTTGCGTTGAACATATAACAAACAGGTGCAACATGATTCTCTGGTCAAATTTTATTACAAAAGCCTTGGTCTTTCACTTTTGCTAAATACATGCATAATAGTTGGCTTTTGAGGTGAAATTCTAATCTTTGCCGTAAATTTACAAAATTTCTCATCGACTTGGTAATGAGTGCATCGTTCATTAGTTTTTACTGAAATCTGTAGTAAAGTGTGGCACAACATTGAACGCTCCGCTCGCTAATAATAGCGAGAAATACGCTCCAGAGATTCGATAAAGTAAACGCATTCTCAATTAGCACAAGATTTCAAGTTGCATTAATTGAGCACAAGTCCGTCCGTCCGTCTTTGGCTGTAACGTGTGAAATTGAATTCGTATACGGATACATCTTCGTGAAAAGCGAACAGGATTTACTCTCAATAATTGATGAAATGAAACGTCTCATATAAATGCAATCGTTTAACCAATAAAATGATAGGAACACATCGAGCCATAATTAGTAGTGAACTGTATCTAAAAATTTTGATGTACTTTTACTTAAGTAATCGACGAACGATTTGAATATAAGATATATACACTAAATAATCTTATGAATCATGGAATCATCATAAGCCTACGATTTGAAAATAGTTGCAATTGGTTCACTGAAGTCTTTGCCAGTAACACAAATTTATATGAAATAAATGAAAGTTGCTCTCTATAAACAAGATAAGAGAGAGAGAGAGAGAGAGAGAGAGAGAGAGAGAGAGAGAGAGAGA